CCACCATGCTACCTGCCAGCCCCATATCGCTTATTCTAGTCATGTTCTCTGCTTGGCATCTTGTGGGGGAAGCCACTGACTAGTAAAAACTATTTTGTCATTTAAAAACAAATTACAGGAGTCACCAGGTGGCATGGTGGTTAAGACACAGACACTCCCACATGGCCAACCATGGTTGAGTGCTGGACCTGGTTGAGTGCCTTTCACGAGCCCCCCTCTGGTCAAATTAAAATAAATGAATGAATGAATAAAATTAAATAAATAATTATTTTAAAAATAAAAACAAAATATAGGCATTTAGAAATGAGACACAAATCTAACTTATTTTCATTCCTGATAACTTCTCCAATCATAGCTTATGTGTCCCCTCACTGAACTCGAATTTTCCTGAGGCAGGGTACAGTCTATTCATTTCTGTAGACCATTGAGTACCCAGCAGAGAATGGATTCTAAATAAATACCTAATCAACCAAGAAGAAGTGAACAAACTTTAAGGCCAGGCTGTACAGCCTGCCATTCCATCCCACCAAAAGCAGTGAGATGGTGATTTCACAACATAGCCCTCTGAGTATTAAGTTGTGTACATCCTATATTTTGAGTATACCTGGAGTGAAACAAAAGAATAGTGTCCAAATAGATAATGACATAGCAATTGGCCAATGTACCAGGTAGAAACTTCAAAGGATGAGTATTTCCCCTGGAAATTATATCAGCAGCTGTGCTAGAAATTAGTCTCACCTCATAGAGAGAAGTTTACACACCTTCCAATCAAACGATTTGGTCAGGAACTAGTACCTCTTTCAGTCTATACCTTGTACTTCAAATCTTACCTGAAATTAGCAGCATTACCAGCTACAAGTAACTTCTAATCTATTGATACTAAAGACCTGCTATACAATTATGACTTTAAAAGTATAATGAACAACTATATATACATATTTTTACTGTGTTATTTATATACTGCTCACACATGTACATCTGCTTACCAAATAATTCCTCCCCAGAAGAATGAGAAAAATACATAAAAGGCTAAAGAACCCCAAATCACAAAATGATTTATCCATGTCCAGAATCTTGTATCCAAGGCGAGCTGAAAAGATAAAACCCAAGAGATTTTATGATGAATATAGATTGTACCAGGTAATATACTATAGTACCTGATATGTGTGCACAATATGACATTTATGGGAGGATCTAGCTTGACCAGGGATCCAGAGGAGAGTGGGACTAAAAGAAGTACAGAATCCAGGCTTTTCAAAGAGCTAGGGGGAGAAAGCTGGGCTCTGCCCTAAGGCCTCTAAACTCTAGGGTATAGGCACAGAGATGTAGTCAAGCTAACTAGATATTAATATGGATAGTAGGTGTGGAGTGCAGATGTCTTGGGAATGGACAAAGAATGAGATAATGGTAAAATTCAGGAGGCTAGAGCACCAAGTACTGAAGTACTGGCAGCCAGGAGATCATGGCAAAAGACCTAGCTGGTAGAACGAAGTATGCTAAAAAGTAGTAGAGAATAGCTAGGAAGGGCAGACAAATTACACAAGGGAATCATGAAAGCTCAAGTGGAATAGACAAGAGTCAATAAACTTGTCTATACATATCTAGCTGTACATACCTAATATCATGTTACAATGAGTCATGGGTCTGATTATGTAGAGTGACCTTCTGATGGCCAAAGCTGTATCTAGTTCTTTAAATAATAAACAGTTCAGTTGCCTTACATTTTAATTTCTTCATGTTTCTGCCAGTACTGATAATGTTTTCAGACTGTGGCACTAGGGGTTTTCAAATGTGAACTAAAGACAAAAGTACAGTCTGCTTTGCTTGCTTTGAATTTCTAGGTCATGAGGGCTAATATCTAGATCATTTAATTCTTATAGAGGAAGTGGTGTCTAGTTTTGCTACTTGCTGTGACACCATGGTCCTCAGTTCTCTGTTACAGTTTCTCGTTTATAAATAGGATGTTGATAACATTGTTAATTCAGCCTGGTGTTGAATTCTCATCCTCCAGGCTGCAAGGAAAAATGTCACAATAATATTCATCCAAAGAGGAGGGAGTACTTATCTTTTGAAGTACACTTGAAAGATGCTGCAGTAAATCTGACTTTAACTGTGAAGGACATTTGGAAGCTCTTGGGCCATTTGCAAAGCCAAGAGGTAAAAAAAGGAGGGGGAAAAAGGCTTCATTTCAAATCATGACCCCATGAATCATAATAATAATAAAAAAAATCTAGGATTTATTGCAATGAGCACATTTTACATGCCAGATACTATTCCAAATGATTTATATGCATCCACTAATTAACTCCTCACAAAAATCCTAGGAAGTAGGTGTTATTTTTATTTCCATTTGGTAGAAGAGGACAGTGAGACACAAAGAAGTGAAGTCACTTGCCCAAGGACACACAACTAGTAAGTGGCTAAATTGTGCTAAGTTGTAACGTCTCCTTGTAAAGTCCTAAAATATTACTGAAATACATAAATAATACAAACATATGTCAGCTCAATTTGGTATAAAATATGAACCAGGGACAAAAACTTAGAGGAAAATAATTAGAGAGGTCCCTTATACTTTTGAATCTTTTGTTCTCACTACTGGCCATGTTGAAATTCATTTAAAGGTACTGATTCTTGGTCATACTTTACATGGATCATCAGAAGACTGATTATGCTTTCAATCATAAGAGTCCCAACTCACAGGCATCAAGGCCTGCATTCAGCATGGTTTCACAGCATTATTACATGTCAATCCCAGTGATACTGCCAAAATTACCCTTCTTGTATGTCACCTGCTGTATATTTTTTGCATTTCTTCACTAACATGAGTAAATTTCAATGGTGAATATATATTTTTAAAATTTATGGTTTATTTTTAGGATTCCCCCCCAGGGTGTGTGTACACATTGGAGAAAGATAGAGAGCGAGAACAAGAGCAAGAGAGAGAAAGAGAGAGAGAGAGAGCAAGACAGAGAGAGTGAGCAGGAAAGTGAGAAATCATCCCCCAGGGGGGATGGCTATGCCACACAATCCCTTCTCTTCCATTCTCCATCTGGGATTCTGGGTGTGCATGCACATGCATCCAAGGTGATTTTCAAGCTGCTGGGCCTAGGACTTGAACTGTGGTCAGCCATGGGAGAGCCCAGCACCTTAACCACCACACCACCTGCTGGTCCCAGTGAATACATTTTATAGAATTTCAATATGACCAAGCTCATTGCACATATTTATCACTCATGGACACCTACTTAATTCAAATTCCTTTTAGGTCTGGAGTTCTTAAACAGATATGTAATTTTCAAAAAGATTCAAGAATAAAAAAGAAATACACACACACACACACACACACACACACACACACAGCTTGTTTATATTCCATTTACCTCAAAATAGTGTAATGAAGGAACAGATTACCAACATAAGTATGGTATTTGAATTATTTAAAAATAAAACAAAATAAAATAGATGATATGCTAGGGGAAAAAAATCGATCATAAACAGTATATACATGCCCAAATCTCTAGCATCCTACACATATTGGTAAACACAAAAAGGAATAAATAACAACCTACAACAAAAATAAAGATTAGGAGACAAAAAAAATACATTAGGGTAAGACCAGAAAGGATTACAGGAATGGTGTTAAATAATTGAATAAATGAAAATCTAACCTTCAGGGTTACAGTGAATACTAAGACTGTGAAAACAATGGTTCCAAAAGTCCAGTTTCCATATACCTGAAAAACATTTAACAATTACATGTACCAAGAATACATAAGCCTGCTTTAAAAGTAAATAAATTAATTAAAAGCCAAATTTAATCCTTTGTGTAACTGCCAAAGACTTCTGCAAGAACTTTTAGGGAAATAGCTGGTCACAAAGACCAGGCCACATTGCTGGATTTTCCTGAGCCTCTAAATTTTCTTGGACAGGTACACCACACCTGTGGCTGGTAGGGTTTATTTCCATTATTCCATGCAGCATTGAACAGGATGTGATAAAGGCAGAGGAAAAAAAAAAAAAAAAGAAAAACTATTCAAGTCATAGCAATGTTCATCAAAAAAAGTAAATTCGATGACTCATGTCTCTAAAGAGTTTGATATGGACTTTTCCTACTATATAGAACTAAAGCTCCCAAATAAGCAATAATTTGCACACAAATGAACTCACATTTTTTAAATGAGTCTAATTTTCTGGCTATAAATACTAGAGCTGTCAGCATGTGTGCATCAAAGAAAAGCAGATACCACATATAAATCCAAATGATGGCAATGAATGGCACATATGCTTACCAAACGCTGTCAAGATCTGAATGCATAACATTAAAACAGAAAATGAGATGTAAAAGGTTTTTACAAAATAAAAACAAAAAAAATTAAGGTTAATAGAGGCAAAAAAAAGATTTAATCAAATTATACATGGGTGTTATGTTTAGTCGTTGATAGTAATTCTAACACTTACTTTAATTGTAAGCAAACATTTAGAAGGATGGTGATATATACGGTAAAACCTTATTAATTTGGACTTCAGGAATTCAAAATGGATAATGAATGGACAGAGGCTGGGTTGCCACTTCTTCCAAACCACCTAGAAATTTGCTGAGCAAAGGAATCATGTCAACAAGACGGCAGGTGAGTATATGTTTACTCTAGAGTAAACTCTTTTTAAGCAGTAGCTGCTATATAAAATTTACATGCAAAATAAAACTCTTATAGATGTGAAAGTTACAGAGTTAGTCAGAAATCTAAAGGGAATCCAATAAATTGTAATATCTAATCTCTTGTTCTTACTGGCGGGCAAACATGACTTGGGAACCTGATGTGACTTTCCCAAAGACACATGAGATTTAGCAGGACATGCTCCTTGGCAAATGCTACCTGTCTACTCTAAAGTAGATCTGCATTTCTCCAATTATTACTTTACGATTAATAAATTAATTGTTGTTAGTCCAAATTACAGAGGTTTTGACCATAGTACCTAATTTCAAAGTATCATTCAAATTTACTGAACCTATCACTTCTGTAGCAGGTGTTAACTGTCCACATTCCAGATAAAGTCACTGTACTCGGTAAATTCTTTTTGAATCTTAGCTTTGCTTTCTTTGCATTATGATTATAAAATAAATGAATGACCATAAAAGAGAAATCCCAGAAATGGCAAAGGAGAACACAGTGAAAAGCAGCATGCAAGGCAAGTGTTTGGTTTCCTGTCGTGTGGTGTTTGGTTTCCTGTTGTGTGGTTTTAAGAGAGCCTCATCTCTCCCTCATAAGGAATTCTCTCCTATAGCACAGACAGGGCAAAATCATCCCCACACAGCTGAAGATTGGGAAAAGCCTATCTCATATCAAAATGCAGGGGTCCAAAGTTTGAAGCCCTAAAGAACTCTGTTCATCCAGTAAAATTGCAGCCAGGTAATCTCCTTCTAGAAGATTTGCACATCTCTAGTCAGCCATGCACATAGGAAGTGATTTCTTACTTCAACTTTTCTACTGTTCTAAAGAACTTATAAGGACTAAATACTGTTATCTTAAGAAAACATAGTTAGCAAAATGATTACAGCTAGGGTACGTATGTGACATATCCAGTGACTATGAAAAAAACATAAGCCATGCTTATATACCAAAATGATCTGATAACATGTGATTTTTTTACCTTTCCATTTTCTTCTAGGGATGCAGTCTGAAAAAGAAAGTAAGTCCCAAAGAAGAACACTGTCCCTTCAAAGGCAGCCAGAAATGTCCAATATAAGAAGGGGCCCAACTGTAGCATGGCATTGCCAGAAATTTTCCTACCAAGAAATGGGAAAAAATCAGGTTAATGAATCTCTATAGGCTGTTCATGTAAACATACAGTGAAAATGCTAAAGGTGGGAATGGGGTTTGATCCTGTTATAACAAAGGGGGCTACCCAAATGGACTGAAAGGTTTTTGGTAAAGAGCCAGACCAAGCAAAAGGGATGATCTTCATGTAATCAAGGAGGCATTAAGTAAATTGTCCACATGCTTCTAAAATTCTGGCCACTGAAAATAGCAACATCATCGATAATAATTAACTTGAATACAATGAATACTCATTATATGCCAGGAACTGGGTTAAGAGTTTTATATACATTAACTATTTTCATTCATATAAAAACTTTGAGATAGGTATCACTGTCACTGCCATTTACAAATAATAAGGAGCCACAGAAAGGTGTACATAATCGTTCCCCAAAGTTTGATGCACATTTAGAATCACCTGAGGGCTTTTTTAAAAATTTACTGATGCCTGCCTCCCATCCTGGTTTACATTTAATTGGCATGAGGTGTAACCTGAGTGTCAGGATATTGCTAAAACTCCCCAGGTGATTCTAATGTGTGGTATAATTTGGAAACAATTAGTGTGGCAACATGCCAAAGTTCAGCCAGTAAGAGGCAGAGCTAATAAATCATCTGGGTTGACCTGACTTCAAAGCATGTGTTCTCAACCAAGCTACCAAGCTTTTCAACTACGACTGTTAAAAATATTTCTTCCAATCAAGGTTTCTTCCTGAAAATTTAACCATATTTAGGTCTTAGGGTATCTGCTATATTTTTTTCTATAAAGTCAAATAACATGTTTGAAGTTGTACAATGATATTTTGATAAATGGCAGAGGGACAGATCTGTCAAAAATAGCATCATCTTCTCAAGGACAAGTCAGAATGTTAAATAAGGCTACCAATTCTAAGGGCACAGAGCTACAGGAAGATGTGTTTGTGCAGTATTTCTTTTGGCTTCAATTTCAAATTGCTCTTAACATTTATGGTATGTGACCACTCAAATAGCACACACCTGTTGTAATACCACTGCAAATGTCTCTGGGCTGTCCTAATAGGAACCTCCTTTGTAATGCAAATGACAGATCTTAATTCAGTTGGAATTGAGTACTGTGGAGTTTCCTGAAAACATGGCAATTACGAAACTTTTACCTATAGGATTTCCAGATGCATGCAGAAATCTGAAATTCAGGGGATGTTATTTATCCTAGAAAAATTTCAGAAGGAGGTAGACGCCCAGAAACTAGCTCTTCTCACAGCCAATAAGTCATGCTTCCAAGGCATCTGGGAGCCACAAGGGAGGCAAGTCCTTAAAGATCCTTGCAGGGGGGACCAGCAGTTAGCATAATGGCTATGTCGCTGGACTCCCACGTAGTTGACCATGGTACGCGTATGGGACCCAGTGGCTTAAAACTCACTCCAGGCGCATGTGTGTGAATGCCCCAAGATTCCAAGAGGAGAATGGAAGAGAAGGGATTGTGGCGTGGCCATGCCCCCTGGGGGGTGATTTCTCGCTTTCTGTCTCTCTGTCTCTGTCTGGCGAGTACATGCTCCCTATAGCAAAAACTTCTAAAAAAAAAAAATCTTTGCAGGTAATGCCCAGAAACTGTCAGTCAAGGTGACTTTTTTTTTTCTTTTCTTTTTTTGGGAGAGATTGTTGCTATAGGGCACATGAGCTTGCCAGAAAGACAGAGAGAAACAGAGAGACAGAAAGCGAGAAATCACCCCCAGGGGGGATGTCCCCACCACAATCCCTTCTCTCCCATTCTCTTCTTGGGATCTTGGGCACCCACGCACATGTGCCCGGCGTGAGTTTAAGCCACCAGGTCTATGACTTGAACTGTGGTCGACTACATGGTAGTCCAACAACATAGCTATTATGCCAACTGCTGGTCCCAGTCAGAATGGCTTTTTAAAGTCACTGACTTGGGCTGAGGCTGAGAGGGCAAAAGCAGGAAGTGACTGTCTTTACAGATTATCTCTTATAGTTACATTACATACAACCGGGAGAAGGGCAGGGGTCTCATGGTATGCTGAATTATAGATAAGACTTCTAGTTGCACGCATGAATGAAGAAGTTGTTAGTGGTAAGGAGAGCATGAGAGAGAAGGAAGATCTGGAGAAGAGGTTGACCAACAGCACAAAACCACTGATTAAACTGTTCGAAAACTACTGGCCAGCTTGAAAGAGCAAAGGCCTGAGCATCTCCATATGATGGCAGGCAGTGGATGTACCAGAACCCTTTATAAGCTGTTACAGAACCAAACCACACCCATGCCCTCTACAGAAAAACTACAGTTTACTTCTGTCACATAAAAAATACAAAAACATTCAATGATGTCATTTCACATCAAAGCATTTGGATATGCCTGAGTCACTAAATCCCTGAAGTTCAATCTATAATATGCTACATAATGCTGCTGCTAACATTAAGTGGTACACTGCAGAGAGAGCTATACATGAACATTATGACTTCTTACAAAGAAAGTCAGAATAATGGAGCAATCTACAATCTGGTGACAGGCCAAGAGCAGTGTTTGGTCAGAGCAGGAAATCTTATGAGTATGAGGTAAAGAAGGAAAGTTGCACTTTCAGCTAGGCATGAAGTATTACATACTCTTTATTTTTGCATTAGATATTTCAAGTACACTCTCCATGCAAGACGTTCAAGAATTCATACCTACACCTGCAGTGAAGTAACTAAAACTTCATGGAAGCCCTTACCACATTTTGTCCAAAACAGCTTTTTAAAGGTTTTCAACATTCTTAGTTTATATAGATGCTTTGCAAAGCCCTGAAGGTACATGGAGGAGGACATTAGAATAGTAAGATTTATAGCTACCATCTTTTGAAAACTATATGTGAGACACTGTTTTTAAGTTCTTTCACATACAGTGACCCATTTTATCCTTACACAACCATTGTGATTAGGTGCTATGTGGGCCATACTTTATTAAGGATGAAACTGAGTAACATCTAGTCAAATAATCTGCACAAGGTAACAGTTGATAGTAATAGCAGAAGTGGGATTTGAGGGACCAGTAGTTAGTGTAATGGTTATGTCACTGGACTCCCATGTAGTCAACCGTGGTTCACGTCCTGGCCCCAGTGGCTTAAAACTCACGCCGGGCATGTGTGCGTGCATGCCCAAAATACTGAGAGGAGAATGGAGAAGGGATTGCGGCATGGCCATCCTCCCCCTGGGGGGTGATTTCTCGTTTTCTATCTCTCTGTCTCTCTGTCTTTCTAGTGAGCGCATGTGCCTTATAGCAAAAACCTCTCAAAAAAAAAAAAAAAAAAAGTGGGATTTGAGCCCAGGTGGGTAGCATGAGCTCTCGGTGAGGTGAATGGGAGCAATACTGATCACTGTCCTCAAATCCCACTTCAACTAGAGCAGCTACACTGTTGGGGCTTCACTTTACTGGTTGTCTGAAAACAACTACTCTTTAAACTGTTTGAAGACTACTGGCCAGTCTGAAAGAGCAAAGGGCTAGTTCGCAGGAGGACTGAATTCTGATCTTGGCTTTGTCTCAGATTAGACTTAGATAAATTATTTCTGGGCCCTAATTCCACATTTTCAGAGAAAGGGTATAGAAGCTGATGCTGGTAAGATTTCTACAATTTCCCTCTAGACCTAATTATCCATTTACAACACATATAAAATCTAGGTGTCAGTGGAACATTTTCAATTCTACCATGGGGATGCAATCAGCAAATTCTAGACTAGGGAAAACTTTGCATCACAAATATCACAAATGATCCAGTTTCATCAATAAATAAATGACAAGGTTAACCTACAGGTTTAAGGAGACTCAAAAAGCTTATTAATCAATTGCAAAGTATGAACCTTATTTAGATCCTGATTTAAACGAGCATAATGTTAAAAGGTGTCAATTAGAGAAATCTAAACATTAACTGGATATATGATAAAATGAAGGACTTGGGGAGTTACAGTGATGGGGTACTGCTATTTTTTAAAATTTTTATCTTTAAGACATACAAACTGAAACAACTGTTTTATATAACATTTGAGATTTGCTTCAGAATCAGCCTGTGATAGAGTAGACAGGGTTATTAATAGAACAGAACTGTCAATGAATTGATAGTTGTTGAAGCTGAATTGTGAGGAAAGTTAATTATATAATTAGTATCCTCACAACTTTTGCATATGTTTGCAATTTTCCTCAATAAAAACCTTTAAAATGATAATAAAACTAAGAAACCTGTGTAACTCTAGCAATACAAAATTAAAATGTTATAAGTAATACTGGCTAAAAAAATCCTTTAAATTTGTGCTTCATTTCATACATATAAACCATATAAACCACCCAAGACTATCTATAGCACTTCCCATCCACTATTTAGTAATTCTTGTAATCTGCTATAAATTATCACCTTTATCCTTAGCTCTAGGCATAACTTCTAAAAATCCAATTATTTCATAAGTTAAGTAACTGAGGCTTGTGCCAACTCCCTCATCCATAGAGGAATGCATCTATGTCCAACTGACACAAAATGAAAACAAATGGCTTGATGAGTTAATTATTTCCTTCAAACAAAACAATTTTAGAATGGGGCTAATAAATGGGGCAGGGTTGATGCTTTAGGTGTAGTTTATAAGAGGAAGCAGAACATACCTCATCAGTTCACTCCACTATACATAGGAACCAATAATCTAAACTACTAAAGATCTTTCAGAGTGTCTTTTTGCAGTTAAATGTAGTATCTTCCTTTAAGATGAGAATACTGTGACCATGTAGGTTTAAGTTTTAGGATTTAGTGATTTTGAACTAAATGCTTCATACACATTCAAATATAGAACCCACACGTAGGAAATATGCCATGTTCCTACTGAATACTCTGATGTTAGTAGCAAAAATGAAGAGGACCATGTAATTAGATTATGCAGGCAGTTCAGTGTCCTTCTCACTTGCAGATAAACTGTAAACCCGCAACTCTGAAAGCCTGAGGAAGTTTCAACTACATGTTCAACTTACATATACAATCGGGGGTCTGAGGTCAGAGTGTCAATGTTGATGTGCTGTTCCAGCAGACTGTAGGCCAGTATTGGCAGGGATGTGAAGCAGATATTGTACATTGTAAGATAAGCAGCATCATACAGTGGCTGAAATAATGAACAACAGAGGAAATGAAATGTACTGTAAAAATAACTTAAAAGACATTATCTGTGTATTTGAAAAAAATCACCACCTCAAACAAGACAGTTTCCTTTCATATTTAATGCAATAGTAAAACTGTAATAAGGCCACTATACTGGGCAACTATAAAAGAAACTAACTTACTAGGATCTTATTGAGAATGTTTACATGCTATAAACTGCATTTCCAATAGATGTTAACCAATAATTTTTCAAAAGAGTTTTTAGCAGCTAAAAATCTAGCTATTCAGTAACTTTTCAACAAAGACCAAATAAGTATATGCCAGGAATCTCTTAGAGAAACTAAATACAGGCAGTAGTCAGCCTGTGTCATAGTGCTTCATTTCATACACATAAACCACCCGAGCCTCTCTATAGCACCTGCTATCCACTATTTACCAATGCTTGTAATCTGCTATAAATTATCTTCTTTATCCTTAATATCATATGTCTCTCTCTCTCTCTCTCTCTGTGTGTGTGTGTGTGTGTATGTGTGTGTATAGTTCACACTTTTAAAAGTCCAAGTTCTATAATATGTATCTATTTGGACACCTTTTTTCCTGAGAGGTCCCAGGTTCTTCATGGAGTGCGTTCTTCCTCCCTGCACTGAGTAATGAACCTAATTTTATCAATAAGTGTGCCTTCGGGACCAGCAATTAGCGTAATGGCTGTCGCTGGACTCCCATGTAGTCGACTGCAGTTCGCATCCCGGACCCGGTGGCTTAAAACTCAGGCGCGTGTGCGTGCGTGCCCAAGATCCCGAGAGTAGAATGGAGAAGGGACTGAGGCATGGCCATCCCCCCTGGGGGGTGATTTCTCGCTTTCTGTCTCTCTGTCTGTCTGGCAAACGCACACGCCCTATAGCAAAAACCTCTCCAAAAATAAATAAATAAATAAGTGTGCCTTTGACAATCATGAGCTCCTAGAACAGAACTTGGCATACAGAAAGCATTTAATAAGTACTGAATGAATGAATGAATGCGTACAGACTGGAAGCCATAACGCATTTGTAAAAGACTGATCTGATATTATAAATCCTCCTTCATTGAAGAAAAAAAGGTATTCTATGAAGCATTCTGGTCAGAATACTTACTGAACCTTTCAATATTTATCTACAGTGCTAGATACTATCTCATAGCCATTTTTTGTGCCCTGAATACATAATGCTCCTTATTCATTTGTATTTAACATGAATAAATGCTCTTTGGTTAATAAACCACATTTAAATATTACACCAATTAACACAATTACGTATTTTCAATCAACAGCTACTAAAGATACAAATGCTATAACAGAAATTGACTCAAGAAGGTTTGGAACAACCTGAATAGAGCACTAGTTCTTTAGTTAGTTGACTTCTGAACATTTACTGATTTTCCAGTAAATGCTAAGTACTGGAGACAAATATGATACACCCCCTATACACCAAGGAATCAAAATTCTACACAGGGAGGCAGTGCAGGATACACAAATTGCTGGGGGAGTCCAGAATGGGGGGACAACTCTGGTCTGCAGTAGAGACAAAGCAAGAGATAATGCATGCAATATTCTCGATGAAGTTAAAAGTGAGGCTCTATGCAGAACATGGAGGTACTTACACTTTTTAGAAAAAATATTCCAATGTAAATTTAAAAGTACAAAAAAGTGTTGCATCCTTTTTAATTCTCAAGGGAGTGACTAGTCCATCTATATGGTACACAATACTACATTTTCTTTGGAAGCTACTCAGATTTTCATTACTAAGGTTTTTTTGTTTGTTTTTTGTTTTGGAGAGGTTTTTTGCTATAGGGCGCATGCACTTGCCAGAGAGAGAGAAACAGAGAGATAGAAACCGAGAAATCACCCCACCCAGGGGGGATGGCCACACTGCAATCCCTTCTCCTCCATTCTCCTCTCAGGATCTTGGGCATGCACGCACATGCGCCAGGTGTGAGTTTAAGCCACCAGGTCCGGGACTCGAACTGCGGTCAACTACATGGGAGCCCCATGACATAGCCATTACGCTAACTGCTGGTCCCACATTAATAAGTTTTTTAAAATTTCAGGTTGAGTCAGGAAGAAATAGAAAGCCTGAATGGACTAGAACAAGCAGCAAGACTGAATCAGTAATTAATAGTCTCTCAACAAGGAACAAGGAAAGGCCCAGGTCCTGATGGCTTTACTTCCAAATTCTACAAAGTTTTTAAAAAGGAACTAACACTGATCACTGATTCTTCTCAAACTATTTCTAAAGATCCAAAAGTAAGGAACCCTCCCAAATTTATTCTATGAAGCCTCTATCATCCTGATCCCCAAAACAGGCAAGGAAGTAGCAGGAAAGGAAAACTATAGACCAACATCCCTAATGAATACAGATGCAAAAATTCTCAACGGGACACTAGCAGATCATATTCAACAGCACATTAAAAATATTATAGGAACCAGTGGGTGGCATGGTGGTTAAGGTGCTGGACACTCTCACATGGCTGACCATGGTTTAAGTCCTAGACCTGGTGGCTTCCTTTCTCACTTTCCCTCTCTCTCTCTGTGTGTGTCTCTCTCTGGTCAAAGTAAAATAAATGAAGGAATAAATAAAATTAAAAGAAATAATAATAATAATAAAAGATTATACACAGGAGCTGGCAGGTAGCGTGGTTGTTAAGGCGCTGGAGTCCCACATGGCCAACTGTGGTTTAAGTCCTGAAACTGGTAGATTGCTCTCTGGCTTTCCCTGTCTCTTTCTGGCCAAATTAAAAAATATAAAAACGGAATTAAATAAATCTTTAAAAAAATTATACATTATGACCATGTAGGCTCTATTCTAGAAATACAGGGGTGGTTCGACATACACAAAACAATCAATGTAAAGCATCACACTGACAGAAGAAAAGATAGAAACTATATGATCATATAAACTGATGCAGAAAAAGCATTCGATAAAATACAGCATCCCTTCATGATTAAGACTCTCAGCAAAATTGCCATGGAAGGGACATTCCTTAACACAATAAAATCCATCTATGACAAACCCATTCATATTGTATGGGGAAGAGCTGAAAGCTTTTCCACTGGAAACTGGAACAAAACAAGGCTGTCCACTTTCTTCACTCCCTTTCAACATAGTCCTCCAGGTCCTAGCCAGTGCAATTGGACAAGAGATTGAGGCTAAGGGCATGCAAATGGGAAAAAGAGGGGTGATAATATCTCTATTTGCAGATGATATGATTATATATAGAAAACACGAAAGAATACATGGGAGGACTCCTGGAAGTGAATGAATACAGGGAAGTGGCAGGATGTAAAATCAACATACAAAAATCAACAGCAATTTTGTATACTAACAATGAACAGACAGACAGAACTGAGGAAAACAATCCCATTTAAAATAGCCACAAAACCAGTAAGATGCTTAGGAATAAATCTAAACAAAAAAATGAAAGACCTCTACAAGAAAAACTGTAAAAAAATAATAAATTATAACATAAATTGGAAATGATACAAAAATGTAAAAGGATTTCCCATGGTACTGCATTGGAAGAATTAATATAATCAAAATGTCAGTCTTAACCAAATATATCTATAAATTCAATGCTATTCCAATCAAACTACCAGAGATATTCCTCACAGAAATGGAGAAAACAATCATGAAATTTGTCTGGAATAAAAGACCCATATTGCCAAAGCAATACTGTGCAAAAAGAATAAAGTAGAAGACATCTCACTTCCTGACCTCAAAACATATTACAAAGCTGTGATAATCAAAAACAGCATGATACTGGCAGAAAAACAGGCAGGTAGACCAATGGCAGAGAACTAAGAACCCAAAAATAAGCCCCAAAACATGCACCCAACTGATCTTTGATAAAGGGCACAAGACAATCCAATGGGAGAAAGGAAATATCTTTAGCACATAGTGCTGGAAAAACTGGATATCCACCTGCAGAAGAATAAAACTGGACCTCTGTTTCTCACCATTAAGAAAAAAAAACTCAAAATGGAAAAAGGCTCAAAACATAAATCTCAAACTATAAAACTACTGGTAGAATGAATACACAGGGAACTCTTGGCAGACATTAGAGTAGGCAAAGACTTCTTAGAGAAGATCCCCAGAACACAGGTAATAATTCCAAAAATGGACAAGTGGGACTACATTAGGCTACAGCAAAAGAAACAATTAGAGTGAGGAGACAACCCTCAGAGGGGGAAAATATATTTGCAAACTATGCCTCAGATAAAGGACTGATAACCAGAATACACAGGGAACTCAAACAGCTCACCTGCAAAAAAAGAAAAGAAAAAAAAATCCAATTAAAAGGGGAAAATGAGTTGAAAAGACAATTCTCCAAAGCAGACCTATGGACAGCCAAAAAGCATATGAAAACATGCTCAACATCTCTTATCATATGGGAAATGCAAATCAAAACCACAATGAGATGGTATTTAACCTCAGTCAGAATGGCTAAAATTAAAAAGATAAAAATGATAAGTGCTGATAAGGTTATGTGATGTGGTGAAAAAGGAACCTTCCTATACTGTTGGTAGCAATGTAAATTAGTATAACCACTGTGGAGAATGATATGGAGGTTTCTTAAAAACCTACAGAAAGAATTGCCATTTGACCCAGTAATTCTACTCTTAGGTATCTAGCCAGAGGATAGAAAAATCTTCAGTCAGGGGGACCAGAAGGTGGCACGGTAGTTAAGGTGCTAGACACTCTCACATGGCCGACCACGGTTCGTTCGAGTCCTGAATCTGGTGGCTTGCTTTCTCACTTCCTCTCTCTCTCACTCTGACCCTCTGTCTCTATCTGGTCAAATTAAAAAATAAATGAATGAAAAAATAAAATAAAAATAAATAATTATTAAAAAAAAAGAAAAATCTTCAGTCAGAAAAACACCTCCACATCCATGTTTATTACAGAATTATTTAAAATGGCTAGGACATGGAATCAACCCACATGTCCAAGAACAGATGAATGGATTGAGAAAATGTGGCACATGTACTCTATGGAATACTACTCAGCCATAAAAAAATGAGACCTTGACATCTGATACAAAGTGGATGAATATAGAAGCTTTAATGCTAAGCAAAGCAAGTCAGGCCATGAGAAACAGGCATTGTATGTCCCTGCTCAATATATACCAAATGTCTTCCTCTATAGCAGAAATTGAAAAACTGGAAGGTATAATAGCAGGGAGGCCAACTATAGATACTAGAGATAGTGTTGGCAGGAAATAGGGAGTAATAGGAGATGGGAGGGAGAGGACCATTGAAAAAAACAACACATTTAGTAGATACAAAAATAAAAAGTTCTCTGCTAACAATAATATATATGGTAATGTCTTTGATTTGACTAATATGCACAGTATTCATGCTGCGAAAAACCATTTTGTACACTATAAAGATGTACAATGATTAAATGTAAATTTTTAAAAAGTGGAAAAAAGATTGTTTGGTGTGTTAATTTACTCTTGAATTTCACTCAAAAGAAGCATCAATCAACTTTTGTTTCATTATGGTACGTTAAGGTTCTATGAGAGATAACTGTAATTCTTAAATGATAATTAAGGGAGACAGAATGTCCCCCAAACAGCAAGTTTAGCTGATAATATAGTATCTTGTTAAACCTGTTACGATTGATTTGTTTTCATGAGAAAAAAAAAAAAAAAAAAAAAAAGACAAGTACTATCCTAGCTTTAATAAAGAGTGAGCTTGTTTTTACTTAAAGAGTCTGAATTCTGGTGCCATTTCTACATTTACCACAGCCTGCTTTCCATGTCACAGAGGACACCTAATGTGGCTCCGGACTGATAAAAGGCTGATTACCTATATACTCCAAAGATATTTACAATAAAGATTGCTGCATTCAGCATTAGCATAAGGCAAAAATCAAAAATAAAGATTTTACACCTCATATTACCCTCCCCCCCCCCAGCTACCACAAGAAAAACCTTCTTTTTTACCTGGTACATGTCTATCGTTAAAATATGTGTAAAGCAATATATACATATATGTATGTATGTGTGTGTGTGTGTGTATGCATGCGCAAAGCTTCTTCAGGTCTTTGCCTAAATGGCACCATATCAGAGAGACATTTCCAAAACACCTCCACACCTCCTCCAAAATAACAGTCCCTTTTCCCAGTCACACTCTATCCCTTTATTCTGCCTTTTTCTCTTTTCACTATAATGCACGTTCCATGAGGGTAATTGTTTTGATCACTGCTATATCCTTACCATTTAGCTTGGTACAACACTAATAAAAGAGGTCTTTGAAAGGTTCATGGAAATACATATTATGAAAAAACTATATGCATGTATTAAAAAACTTTTGCACCAAAATAAATGTGCATTTTAATTCTGTTTTTTCCACAAACCATTTGAAACCTCCTTGTATTTGTCAAATGAATGAACCTACTAGTTGAACATCTGAGGAAGCTAAATATCAACTTCGGGAAACCTAAGGAAGGAGTTAGGGTAACTTAAGACAGTTCAGGACCTGAATCTCAGCTGGCTTTATAAAGAATAAATCATTTCTTCCTTCATACAATTTATGCTTGGTAAACATGTTTTAAAAGGTTATTATCTGTTGATGATAATGTATATAGTATCCCCAACTGGACTGGAGAGAAATTTATTCATTTTGGGACATTCACTTTACAAATTAAATGACATATGTGATTGAATGTATAAAAAAATTAATTTAATTTAAAGGGTTAACAAAGAAACAGCTTCTATTCATAAGAAAAATGTTTCAACCGGATCAAACTAACTCCCTTTTAGCATTTTGCTACAAAATATTGGGTTGTTGGAGTCATGACACATTTTTGCATAGAAAAACAGAAAAATGTGTCATGACTTTTCCAACAACCCAATAGTTAGGTAAGAAAAATTGATACATCTTTGTAATACTTTCATTCATCCAAGGAAGTGAGATATTAGTAACATTTTAATTAACAATAATTTGAACTTTTAAGAAAAGCAGATTCATTGGAATTTATAAAAACTCCCCTATAACTTATGCTATTAGGGATTTTTTGAATTATTCTATTTTATTTACCATTATTATTTTTAAATTTGCTACAGGGCACACACACTCATCAGAGAGAGAAAGAGAGAGAAAGTGAGAAAGTAAGCTAGCAGGTCTGGGGCTCAAACTGTGGTCAGCCATGTAGGGGTCCAGTATCTTAATCACCATGCCACCTGCTGGTCCCATGCTATTAGTTTTTAATACCAGGAAGCTAATGACACTTTCTACTACTGGAAGATGCTCAGTTCATAACATGGTCTGCTTTACTAGCGGTACCAGGCTAATCATGGCACTGAAGTATAAGACAATATCGCACATGGTACAAAAGTTAGTTAAAGAGAAACAACTGTAATTTCCCACTGAGAAGAATGTATTCTCTTAAAACATACTGCCAATGATTTAGAATGAAATCACTTTCTGCTATGAGAAAACAAAAGAAATAAAGTCTGCCTTTGATATTTAGAAACTGAGTCTCTAATACCTGTGGTGAAAATCACCAAACTGGTCATAGACTGGACTGGTAGGAGGCGTGGTAGTTCAGGTGCTGGATTGCCACATGGCTGACTGCAGTTTGAGTCCCAAACCTGGCGGCTTGCTTTCTCACTTTTCCTTTCAATCTCTCTCTCTCTCTTTCTCTGGTTGAAGTGAAAAAATATTAATAATAAATGAAATGTAACAAGTCCAAGTTACCGAGCATTATGGTACTTATATTTGGCTATACTTCCACTTATAGCAATATAAAATCCACCTCAGTTGTTAAAACAAATATGCCTGCCCATACTACCACTTATGTGTCAAGCTAATATACAGCATATTCTTCATGTAATAAATGTTCAGAAAATAGTACAGGACAAAACATTTAGAGTTGCTTTAAGTAACCCAAGTCTTTATCTTGGAATAAGCTTCTTTGCTAGTTTTAAGATCAATGTTTGTCTATAAATTAATCTGAGAAATTTCAAAGGTGTGAAATTTTATTTGATGAAAGATTATTCTTACATTTTATGACTACTGGAAAAAATTTATACATTGCTAAAAAAGAAAAAATCAAAAAATTCCCTTTCAATGTTTAATAACAGCTCCAAAAGTATGTACCAAAAACTTTCAAAAAGAAAGAATTACAAAATCAGTAAAGCAAAGATATAAACATTTACTATTGTCAAAAACCAGGACATGGGATCAGCAGTAGGCATAATGACTATGTTGGTGGACTCCCATGTAGTCGACCACTGTTTGAGTCCCGGACCTGGTGGCTTAAACTCACACTGGGTGTGTGTGCATGTGTGCCCAAGATCCAGAGAGGAAAATGGATTGTGGTATGGCCGCCATCCCCCTCGGGGATGATTTCTTGCTTTCTCTCTCTCTTTCTGGTAAGCACACGTGCCCTATAGCTCAAACCTCTAAAATAAACAAACGAAAAAACAAACAAACAAAAATCAGGACAAAGGTGATCATCAGCTGTTCAACCTTTTACTTTGGACATAGCTCTGTAATCCAATATATAAAAGGTAATTTATTAAAAGTGAGAAGAGGAAACATACCTGTTGTGAGAATCCACAGAAGAACTGGTATAAAAACTGCGGCAAAATGAAACAAAGATTCTGGAAAAAAAAAATTTAGACAAGGGTTAATATTTTTTCACTTGGTCAAGTTTCTAAACTATTAAGCTATTCTAAATAGTCTATAATAATTTCTCAATCCTTCAAATGTCAGAATGCAACAGATCTCTATTCCAGAGACACAAGACAACAACTCAAAAACAAAAGACTAACACCAACCTTTGCCTTACCAAGAAATAATAGGATCACACTTACTTTATGAGAACCTCTTATTCTTTTTCCAGAGAAGGAATGAGCTCATACTGATTCTGTACCTTAAATAATAACTAGATTTACAAAATCACCATACAGTAGATTAATATATTGCTATAAGTGTGTATTTTGAAGTCAATAGTCAGAAAACTCTTAGGTTACATTGACACTAACAGTATCAATCAACTAATACTCTGTCATTATTCCCACTTCCCCCCAAAAATATCATTATGGAATATCTGTATATGTAAAAATAGCACTGTGGGTGATACCAAATAAGCCAACGTTTTCCTCCTAAGGGACTTATCGTTTAATTGGGGTAAATACTAAAAACAAGTAGATGAAAAAATACAAGGCGGGAATTCCTAAGGCAGTAAAAGCTACTAAGTATGACCATTAAATACTGAAAATTAGTGTCTACCAGAATTAGTATTTTCAGGTGAATGCTATCCTCTGAAGTAGACTGTGAGCCTATCTGAGAGCTATTGTTACTTGTTCATGATGTCTCTGGACTTCTCTTTGCAAGGCACCTTTAAGAGCCCATTTTTGGTTCATTTTAAAAAAAAAAAAGTCTCCTTTCTATTATACAGACTTTCTTAGGTAATCCACAGACTTAGCTTTGGGAGACTGAAGGTTGTTTTTCAAAATCAAATACATCCTCCAAGGATAAAAACTGTCAGAACTGAACACATTTAGATGAACCCACTACAAGTTCAAGATAATGTCCTTAAGAAGTGTGCTCTGCTTTTTTGCAATGGGGCTCACGTACTTGCTGTAGCGAGAGACAGTGAGAAGAAAAGCGAGAAATCACTCCCTGGGGGAGATGGCCACACCACAATCCCTTCTCCTCTATTCTTCTCTGGGGATTTTGGGCACACAAGCACATGCACCTGGCATGTTTTCAAGTCAGCAGGTTGGAGGCTCAAAACATCATCGGCCATATAGCAACACCTTCACCACCACACAAACTGCTGGCTCTGCATGTTTTGAATTACCCCTGCGACTAGAGAATGAATGGCAGAACTTGAAAGTCAACACATGGAAGAGTAACATTTATATGTATCTAATTGTCCTGACATAATGCAAAATATTGTCAGCAGCATTTCTAGAGTCATGCTTTATTAAAAAATACATGTTCTGAAACTGGAGAGAGCAAAGCTCAATGGAGATCATGGGAATAATTTCATGAGAAGTGAGGGCCTGCTTCCTATACTAGAATGTAAGTGCCATGAAAACAGGGATGCTGCCCATGCTGTTCCAAAGTTTATCCTCAGCGCCTAAAACAACACTTACTCAGCACAGGGTAAAACGTTCAAAATATATTTGTTGACTAATTGAATAAAGAAGTTTGAACTTGAACTAGGTCTTAAAGATGAATAGGATATGCTGATATCAGGAACCATAGCAAGGCAATATGTATTTTAAACATGTATCGTTAAGACAGGGTCAGACCGTGGCAAGCGTTAAAGTCAGACTAATACCTCAATTATGAAGATTAAAGTTCCTAAGGGACAAAGTGAAAAGCGGTGTTTCCTAAACTTTAACCAGGTTGAATTATGTAAGGAGGACTAAATGAAGAAATGTAAGGTAGGAAGATTTGTCAATAAAGTATTCCAAGAATGGGACAATGATAATTTGAAGATGAAATGACAAGAAATGATGACAGAAATACTTCTTAAAGGCACAAACAGGGTTAAAAACATTAGAAATCCTCTTGGGACAAAAGGCAGCAATAAAAAAGGAATACTGCTAAGTCAGTAACCAAGATGACACTGAGCTCAGAAATACTAAGGAAGACAGAGAGCATCATCTGCATAAATAATCCCCTACATTGGGAACAGGGTTATGTCAACTTCTGACCACTAGTCAACATTTGCCATTTCAGTGTTTGTTTTGTTCTCCTTACAGAGCATTCCTTCCATCTGGTGGCAGTTGCTTGAATTGCAGGCCAAAATCCTAACTAAATAAGAAACTGCAGCAAATACCGTACTCAAGTTAGTCAGTTTGCTTCTCACAAGAGTATGAGCTAGCAATTCTAAAACTACTTTAAGTGTTTTGTAGGGCGTAGCAAATAACTACACATATTGCAGATTTGGTATCAGGTTTTTCAACACTAGAGAATAGAGGTACAAATAAGGAAAAGGGAAAAACTAAAATGAATACTATGATGTTGGACTGGATCAAAAGGATATGATCAAGTTCACATACTCAATCTGTATCAATTCCTCTGATTCTAGTCTAACATACATATGTGTACATATACATACACAGGTAATAGATTTTTTGGTGACTACGTATTTCCTAGTTCTATTTACTAAGAATGCCTATTATCAACTTCAGCTCAGCAGCAATGAGTACAACTAGCATTCAGATTGTGATTTCTACATATTACATCCAAATAAAATGAACCAGTGTTCCCAAGAGAAAGGTCTGAATCCAGAGCTAGGGTAGAAAAAATATAAGATAAGCCTGGGACATCATGTGGTAGTAGAAAAAAAAGAAATCTTCAAAAATGATGGGGGATATGTTGGAAGGACACAGAGGATTCTGATGGCCAAATATGGAACACTTTGTGTAATGAAATAATGATAGCAATAGACTTTAACTCATACAGTAAAATATCTGCTTTAGTAACAGAATCCTGATTTCAAATGAAATTATAAAAGGTAAAGTTGAGGGGTGTTGAGACCTCTAAATACCACTTGAATCAAGTTATCAAAGTTAATGTCCTTACTGAGTGGCATTAACAACATGTGCCTCCTGATATGATGCACTAAAAGAGTAATAACATCATTTTTCTGGTATTTATGCCAAAAACAAATACTAACAAGCAAACATTAGATAAGCCCAAGTGGACAGACATTTTACAAATTGGCCAATACTCTTGAAAAATGTTAAGGCCCTACAGACAAGGCTAGCAAGGTAGTGTGGTGGTTAAGGCACTGGACTCCCACATGGCTGCCCGCAGTTTGAGTACAGGACCTGGCAGCCCGCTCGCTTACTCTGTTTCTCTGACTTTCTCTCTTGAAAGCATACATGCTCTGTAGCAATTTTAAAAATAAAAATAATGACAAATAAAATTAAATAATTATTTTTTTTAAAAGACTCTACAGGGACCAGCAGTTAGCATAATGGCTATGTCACTGAACTCCCATGTAGTCGACTGTGGTTCAAGTCCTGGACCTGGTGGCTTAAACTCACACTGGGCACGTGTACATGTGTGCCCAAGATCCTGAGAGGAGAAGGGATTGAGGCGTGATTTCTTGCTTTCTGTCTCTTTCTGGCGAGCTCAGGCACCCTATAGCAAAAACCTCTCAAACCCCCCCCCCAAAAAAAAAACAAAAACAAAACAAAACAAAAAAACCACAACCCTACAGACATAAAAGACAGGAACCACCTCAGATTAAATAAGATTAAGCAGACACAGCCCTTGCTCCACCAACCCTCAGTCAATGTAATCCTGCTTCTATCTGCTTTATATGTGTAATTTCATTTGAAGAAAGGAGTCAGTTACCAAAAGAGTAGTTTGAAGTACTATTCAGCATAAAAAGAAAACCAATTATTGACACATGTAACAACATAAATGAAGCTCAAAAACATGCTAAGGGAAACAGGTCAGACATAAAATAATATATATGATTCCCTTTATAGGAAGTTGTAGAACAGGCAAAACCAATGTGTATTCTCAAGACTATTGCAATTATATGCTTTTGATAGATAAGCTATATTGTATTTAATTTATACTTCAATAAAATTGACATTAGAAATTGATCTTAGGGCCAGCTCTACTGCCTAGTGGTTAAGGCTGCTAGACCCTACATGGTTGACTGTACAGTTTGAGTTTCAGACCAGGTAGCTTAAGAAACATGTGACTGTGTGTGTATGCATACCCAAATTATAAAAGGAAGGATATGGAGAAGAGATTGTGGTTTGGTCATTCCCTTCTGGGGGGTGGGTACTTCTTCCTCATTCTCTCTAGCTAGCAAATACAGATGGTCTCTAGCAACATAAAGTCATCTTGAATTTCTTGATTCAAAAGGAATTTCTGGTTCTTGACTTATTCAACAGATCACCTCTGCTTTGATAATTGCAAATTTGAGTATCAGGACAGCAAATGAAACATGAAAAAAGGATAGAAAGATCATCGCCATGCTAAGTCATTGTTGGATGAAATAGAGCTAAATCACAAATATTTCATCACATACCTTATAGAAGAAATCCTCTACAAGATGTGCTATTCTCACATAATATAGATGACCATGAGCCAATAGCAGTTTCTTTAAATGTTTAAACTTTGGAACAGAATAGTCACTATTTCTGGCTGCTTGGCGACCTTCTTTGCCTTTAATACCTAAAAAGAGAACATCTCAGTAGGGTAGATATTTTATAGAATAAACAGCCTCTTATTTATTTGCATATTTTCATATTCGCTTAATGTTACAGTTCAAGGGCTAACACATGTCATAGTGGTTAAGACACTGGATTTCCACATGGCTGACCACAGTTCGAGTTCTTGACCCAGTGGTTTGAATATCATGCCGGGTATATGTGTGTGCATGCCCAAAATCCCAAGAGGAGAGTGAAGGAAAAGGGACACGGCAGTGTGGCCCTCCCCTAAGGAGGGTGATTTCTCACTTTCCCTCTTGCTATCTCTCTGGTGAGTACACGTGCCCTATGACAAAAACCTTAATAAAAAAGAAAACAAGTTACAGTTCAATTACATACTTCAGTTTTGCTTTTTATTCTTAAGCCAAAAGGGCTTTCTTCAACAGTGACACTGAGATGTATCAAATAATAGTAAAACTAAACTATTTTAATACAATAAAAAACAATTAAATACAATCATTATACTAATTTCTAGGCCAAAACAAAAAAAAGAAGAAGAAGAAGAAAAAAAAAATTCAACCTGAAAATGATGTTTAAAGTGCTCAGCAAGTGCTTAGCTGTGCCTGACAGATACTACACTATGCTATTGGGATACCGGGGAAAGTCATGATGCATTTTTGTAAAGAAAAATATGTCATGACTTTCACAATGACCTAATATAGTAAGGAAACTCAGAGACCTTGACTTTGTGATCCAGGAGCTCAATGAGAAGATGAAGTTCTTTTACGAAATGGAACTCTGACCAACAGTCCCAAGAGTTCTATGATCTCAGGAAGCTTTAGGCCATTTCTACATTGGCTAACCGATGTCAGAACTTAGAGTTCTGTGCTACATAGGCTATACCAAAATGGAAAGAACTTGGAAATCTAAATTGCAGTACAATAATTCCCAAGAACTACTTAATTCTTTATCTATCCTCATCCCCACCCCTGCCAAAAACAAACAAATTTTCTGGGTGTCAGTTTGTTGCCCAACAGCTAACTGATGGGACAAACTAGTACAGGTAGTAGAAAAGCTGTTGTTGCATCATGTCAACATAGAAATTCAACACTACTATCCAAACTATCCATAAATATAGCAATGGAAAAAAATATAGCAAACTACTTAACATTTCTTAGCCCTAAACAGTTAAGTAACTCAAAAGATTTCGTATAGCAATACAAGCAGGCAGTCTGGTCAGAGGTTAAAAAAAAAAAATCAATAAAACTTCACACATGCTGTCAAAGTGAGAGCTTAACAATCAATTGTGCTGCCAGGGTACTTGAGAAATTCCCACTCACTTTCAAAATACAAAAATATCCTTGGGCCACCAGATGGCATGGAAGTTAAGGAAGCTGGATCCCACATGGCTGATGGCACAATTTGAGTACTGGACCTAGTGGCTTGAAGATCACGCTGGGTGCTTGTGTGTGTGTGTGTGTACCTAAAGTCTCAAGAGGAGAACAGATTGTGGTGTGGCCATTCCCCCAGAAGGTGCTTACTCACTTGCTCACTCTCGCTCTACCTTTCTCTCTCTCTCTCTCTCTGCCACCCTCTCTGGCAAAAGCATGTACATCATAGCAAAAAATAAAAACAAAAACCTTAACTTTCTATTGCTACATTCCCATCATGGGTAGGACCTTGAGAGGGACATATTCTATGATCAGACAAGGCCCTTCCCTTGATTAACGATTATCATTCCCAAATTAAAATTGAAGATGAGCAACCAAATAATCTCTATTTAAAAGCAATACTGATATCTCACAGCTGCCATCTCATTAGAAGATTCTTACCTATTCCCACATGGGATTCCAAGATCATACTGACATCATTGGCTCCATCACCTATCGACAAAGTTATTGGGCTGCCTTTTAAATTCTTCACCATTCTTACAATCTACAGATTAAATACAAAAGAGGTATAGAAAAAGTAAAAGCAGAATGTGAAATTGAACTACATGAGGTGTATATACCTCAATCACACTTGTAAACGGTAGCCTTGCAAATAGAAAGGTAGTTTGTATGTGTCCAATATCTTAGAATCTCAGATGCAGAATATATCCACTCAAAAGTCAACACCAGAATCCACTCATTTCTAGTTCTTTGCATGTATGCCTCCTATAGAACTATTATTGAATATGCATAATGTAATGTAATGATCAATGTCAAATAAGACAAATAAGTCCTTGATTTCATTCTATACACTTTACGCATGCTTCGAAAAAATTTATCATACCCTACAAAGATGTACAACAATTATATGTAAACCAGAAATCATAATAAAAATTACTTAAACAAAAACCTTGCCTCCTATGCATACTAGATGTCATGTTTCCCACATGATGTCATGTGTCCTTCCAGATCAGATGTTGTATAGGCAACAATGGAAACCAGAAAGCAGATTAAGGATAACATGTACAGGGACCAAAAAACAAAAGTGGAAAGTCAGAGAACAATGATCTGGTTACCCCTTATTTTCTTCTCCCTGCTAACACTCCTAAACCTTCCCTAGGAGCACACCAACTTTATTCCCAGCAACTTATCTAATGTTAAATCTGGTTGTACAAGAAACTTCACAAAATCTCCCACTGCCCAATATGGTTTGACCTATCCTATAGGTAGCTGCATTTTAAAAGAGGCATCTTAAAGGTGATGAAGTTTGCAGAAAGATGCCCAAGACGCATGTACAGAGTGATCATGATTCTCTGAGTGTATCTTCAAGATATGTAAACAATACTGTATAGCTTAATGCTATGTTCATGGCAGACAATAAATAAAATGTTCATTCCCTTTGGGTCAGCAGGCCATACAGTAATTAACGCACTGGACTCCCACATGGCCTACCATGGTTTAAGTCCTGTACCTGTCAGCTTAAAACTCATGCCAGGCGTGTGTGTGTGTGTGCATGCCCAAAATACTGAGAGGAGAATGGAGGAGAAGGGACTACAGTGTGGCCATCTGCCCTAGGGGGTGATTTCTCACTTTGTCTCTGTAGGGAGTGGCTGAAACTGAGCTGAATATGGGTGACCTTTAAAGATGACCAGAGCACAGACTCACTTGGGCTGATGTTGCACACCCAGCAGAGGTTAAAGGAAATTATGTTTTAGCCAGAGGAGGTCAGGTGGGCCTTATGTAAAACTACAAAGATGCCCCACAGCTGCAGTCAACAATAGAAAATATCTGGCTTTACCTTCCACTGCTCCCTCCCTCATCGCCCTGTAAAGATAACCCTGGGAATGGCACAGTGCCATGGCAATCTCCATTAGAGACACTCGGTCTGCTGGATCCCTGCTTTTCTCTGCATGTGTGTCTCTGTCTTTGTCTTTACCAAATCCACCACTGCTCTCACTAAGGGGTCTCACCACATCCCTCTCTGTATCTCTGGTGAGCATAAATGCCCTATTGTAAAATCAATTAAAAAAAAAGTTCATACCCAGTATTAAAACACTTTTGCTTTGGAGTTTTCTAAAACCATCTCCTCACAGTAACTTGTAGAAATTGCACTGGTTAAGTAGCTTTCCCTCCCACCCTATGTTTTAAATAGTCATAGTTAATGTGTCAATCCTCAAAATCTCCTTGAATCTAGCTGCTTTAAAAAATCTTAAATATTGTGGGACCAGCAGTTAGCATAATGGCTGTGCTGCTGAACTCCCATGTAGTTGACCGCGATTCGAGTCCCGGACCCGGCGGCTTAAACTCACGCCGGGCACATCTGCATGCAATGCCCAAGATGCTCAGGAGAATTGAGGAGAAGGGATTGCAGTGTGTCCATCCCTGCTGGGGGGTGATTTCTTGTTTTCTCTCTCTCGCTCTCTCTCTTTCTGGCAAGCGCATACACGCTGTAGTAAAAACCTCTCCAAAAAAAAAGAAAAAAAGCTTAAATATTTCAGTGGCTAAATAATACTTTGTAAAAATTCTGTCCTCATGATTTCCCCTAACAATTATTAAAGTTCATTTCCAACCTAAATGTGATTGAAAATGATTGGGCCAGACAGTGGCATGGTAGTTAATATGGCTAGATAACCACATGGCCAACAGTGGGATTTGAGTCCCAGACCTGGTAGCCTGAAAAACATGCCAGGCATGTATGTGCTCATGCCCAAAATCCTAAGAGAATGGAGAAGGGGTTACGGCATGGCCAACCCCCTTGGAGGGTGCTTTCTTACCCTTGTTTCCACCATGAGTGCATGTGCCCTAAAACAAAAATGTAAATGAATGAATGAATGACACGAGGCTTAAGGTATCCTGTAGACTTCTTTAAACATAATTTGACGGATTATAGTTGTATTAAATAGCATCCTGAGGAAGGACATTGGGGGAGGGACAGGGAGACAAAGCATTAATGGCACAAATAGGTGTGGTATTATCTGTTGAAGATATTTCGTAGTTTTATCAACAGTACTAGGGAGAAATGTTCACCTGTTGAAATATCCATTTTGTAAGACAAATAATGTGATTGAATGTATGGAAGAAAATGAAATGGAAAAAAAAAA